TTTCCTCCTTCTCCTTTGGGCTCATGGAGTATAATCTGGGCTTCGGGAGTTTTGCCCCAGGCTTGAATTCAATGGTACAGTCTGTGGGTCGGTGGGGGGGAAGCTCATTCGCCCTCTCCTCACTGAAGACTTCAGCAAGGTCCCTATATTCCTCTGGTATTTCTGTTAATCTTTTTTCCTCTCCTATGGATGCTTTTTCTATTCTTGATTCTGGTAGCCTCCCTTGGGGTTTTAAGTCCATAGGGTCCCCCTTCGGGAATTTGATTTCTGTCGTCCTCCAATTTACCCAGGGGTTCCATTTTTTCAACCATTCCATCCCTAGAATCATTGGGCATTCCATACCTGGGGTCACCACAAACGTTAAGTCCTCTTCATGGTTGCCCAGGGAGAGATGTATTGGCAAAGTGGCTAGGGTAGCTGGCACCCCCCTGCTATGGATCCATCTAGCTGGCCAAATGAGATTGGTTGTTCCAGTCTCCTGGATGGGATGCCCAGATTCCCCACTAGTGTTGGGCTAATGAGGCAGCGGGTACAGCCAGAGTCTATTAAGGCTTTCACCTTCACAGCTTCGGGCATGGGGGGGATTAATATAGTCACTGTTTTGAAGATGGGTGTGATGCATCCACTTACCAGGGGTTCGCCCTCCGAGCTGTCATCTGAGGCATCCACCGGCCCTGTGGTGTAGGCTGGAGTCCTTTCCCCTTGGTGAGCAGAGGTGGGGGTTTCTGCAATTTCCATCATTCTCATGGCCGTTTCTTTTGGCTTAGCTGAATACTTTCCGGGTTTGTTGATTGGGGATCTGTCTGGGTTGTGCTGGGGGGCCTTTGAGCGGCATTCTACAGCTCGATGCCCTTCTCTTCCGCACTTGAAACATCCCATTTGCTTCTTGGCTGTATCCGATGATTTCACCGGTGGTGGTGTGTCAGCTCAGGCGGGGGGCGGCTCCATTGTTTTCCTCGGCGGTGCCTCTTCAATATGTCGATCTCTGCTTCCTCTGCCAAGACGTACCATTCCTCAAGTCGATGTGGGTCCCCTCGGGGCAGGCAAGCATCATATAGATCATAGTTTAGTCCGTCTTTGAAATGGCCAAGGAGGATGTCTTCTGGCCAATTCAGTTTGCTGGCAATGGCCCGGAATTCTTGTGTATACTCAGCCACTGGGCGTTTGCCCTGCCTCATCGTTGTTATTCTTTCACGGGCTTTGCGATCAGCCAGGGGGTCTTCAAATCGTCTTCTCAAAGAGGACATGAAACGGTTGAAGTTACTGAGTTCTGGGGCATTGGAGTCATGCAAGTTCACTACCCAATCCGCAGCTGGTCCATCCAGGGCAGATTGCACGATCCGGATGCGGGCTTTGTCGCTGGGAATATCCTGCCCATATTCCTCCATGTAGCTGAGGACTTGGGTTAGGAAAAACCCCAAGCGTGTTGGCTCCCCTTTGAATTTCACTTCCAACGGTGGACGTCTTGGAATGGATCGGTGCCTCTGTTGTGGGTGGTAGTGCCTTCCGTCCAGATTGCCATCTGTGGTCCGGTAGGGGGTGGGGGCTCCTGGATCAGTAGATGTCCCTGGGGTTGCAGGTTCCATGTCCCCCTCGGTGTCTCTCCCTTTGCGGCTCCAGGAACTGGGGCGGCCGTAGGGTTCAGTATTCTCCTCTCCTAGGGAGCTGAGAGTTCTCTTCATCAGGTCAATAGCTTTCTCTAGGATCCAGTCTGAGTACGGTGCCCAGCTTCCTCCCTCTTCACTTGCGTGCAGGGATTTCTCCATCTCCTGCTTCCATTCTGGTTGCTTGGTCCCCCGTCTCAGGGTCACCTTTCTTGATTCCTTTCCCCACTCACTTTTCTTTCCAACGCCCATCGACCAGCGAGGCTTGTGGTCCTGTGTCTCCACCACTTCTTCTCCTGAGGAATCTGACCTCTCGGATCCCAACATCTGGCAAGGTTCCAACTGGGTCAGCGGCTCTCTTTCCAGGGAGTTTTCCCCCTCTCTTGCTCCATTGTCTGACATGGTAAATTTTTTGCAAAATCCCCCGGCAAGGGTCTCCCTTCCAGGTGGATTAATTTTGCAAGTCCTGTCTAATGTAAGGACCCACCCCACTTTGCATCTTAAGAAGACAGAACTCTTGGAATAATTCTTCCAACAGGAATCCTTTATTAAGAGAAAATGGTTGCAGGCATGCTAGACAGGACTTGGGGTTCAAGCTCTTCCATTCAAGGTTTTAAGGGGTTCCCCAGTAGTCCCACCAAATCAACCCCCCTTCCAGTGATAGTTTCAAGTATCACAATTCCACCCCCTTTCTTCTTTCTTCCGTCTGAATGGAGACTTCAGGTAACTACATGAAAGGCAAGTACCCTGCTTTGTTATGATAAGGTTCTCTAGTGCTAATGCTTTGATGTTACAATAAACACACAGTCAGCATTCAGCTCTTTGAAGTGTACTGAAGGAAGTGAGGGCCATAAAGCCCCTTTGTTCTCCCCCTTCTCTCCCTCTTATGGCAGAATCCAAAGAAGGCAGAATTGGGAGTTTCTATATTTGATAATTAAAGATGAAATATGATTGGATTCTGACACTGTCTACTGTTATACTGTTTTACTGCTAATGTTGTACAGTCAGGTCCAGAAATATTGGGACATCGACACAATTCAAACATCTTTGGTTCTATACACCACCACAATGGAGTTGGAATGAAACAAACACAATGTGCTTTAACTGCAGACTGTCAGCTTTAATTTGAGGGTATGTACATCCAACTCAGGTGAATGAGGTAGGACTTACAGCAGTTTGCATATGTGCCTCCCACTTGTTAAGGGACCAAAAGTAATGGGACAGAATAATAATCATAAATCAAACTTTCCCTTCTTAATACTTGGTTGCAAATCCTTTGCAGTCAATCACAGCCTGAAGTCTGGAACGCATAGACATCACCAGACGTTGGGTTTCATCCCTGGTGATGCTCTGCCAGGCCTCTGCTACAACTGTCTTCAGTTCCTGCTTGTTCTTGGGGCATTTTCCCTTCAGTTTTGTCTTCAGCAAGTGAAATGCATGCTCAATGGGATTCAGGTCAGGTGATTGACTTGGCCATTGCATAACATTCCACTTCTGTCCCTTCACAAACTCTTTCGTTGCTTTTGCAGTATGCTTTGGGTCATTGTCTATCTGCACTGTGAAGCGCTGGGCCTTTTATCTGCACATTGTAATTGGGGTAATGAGGGAATATCACACACCTGGCCATGGAACAGCTGAGAAGCCAATTGTCCCATTAGCTTTGGTCCCTTAACAAGTGGGAGGCACATATTAAAACTGCTGTAAGTCCTACCCCTTTCGCCTGAGTTGGATGTACATACCCTTAAATTAAAGCTGACAGTCTGCAGTTAAAGCACATTGTGTTTGTTTCGTTCCAACTCCATTGTGGTGGTGTATAGAGCCAAAGATGTTCAAATTGTGTCGATGTCCCAATATTTCTGGACCTGACTGTATATATTTATTTTGCCTATACTGCATTTAGCTATTAGGGCTGCTATTACATTAATCTGGAATGATGCAATCCCTCCTGTGTTGTTTTGCTTTTGGTTCTGCATCTTTTGATTGCTTTTCTGCAGTAGGAATAGGAACAACAGAGTGGATGACTTATTGTACCAGGACAGGGAGGGGTGGAGGAGAAGCAGGGAGTCTGGCTGCTAGTCCTATCAACAACCTCCTATCAGCCTCTTCTTAAAATGAGAGAAACAGAAAGCAAGAGCAAGTAAGCACAAAGAGGAGAGAGAAAAAGATAATCTTTGGCTCAACCACAGAATTTCTAATAAGGCAGAAGAGGCAGAAACCACCTACCCCATAGATCAGGCACTGAGATGGCTACATTTGTGGATCTAGCCAATGTCAGAATTTCCTTTTATCCCTACCTAACCCCACATTAGGGAGAGCAATTTTTCCCACCAGCAAGAAATTACCAGTCACTTTCCTGAACATATACTTTAAAGCTGTAAGAAAATCACCATTCGCCAGCCTTCTTACTGAGATAAATTAGAGCTTAGCTGTCAGCATGAAGCTGAGAATGCTGTCTGAATTATTTCTCTCTAAAACAGTGGTTCTCAACCTTTTTAATGCCGCGACCCACAACCGGATGTAAGTCGAGGACTACTCAACCGGTCGTAAGTCGAGGACTACTCAACTGGTGCAGCACCGTTTGCAGAATGGGACTTTTGGCGGGCTCAGCAGGGCAGAGACAGCCTGGACAATTCCTATTGGCTTTTGAAAGCCAATAGAATTAGACTCTATTCAAGAGAGTCTATTCTATTGGCTTTCAAAAGCCAATAGAATAAAAGGGAGTAGCACAGCTAAGGAAAAGGGGGAAAAAATGGCGGACTGCATTTGGCGACCTCTGTGAAATGGTCGTTCGACCCCAAATGGGGTCCCGACCCACAGATTGCGAACCACTGCTCTAAAATGTATAAAGATTAAAATAGTGGTCATAATCAAGTATTATTTTAAGAAAAAGATAATCAAGATTTTCTGCAGGTTTGGATGAAAATTGACTAAAAAAATTTATTATTTATTTATTAGTAAAATTTATATGCCGCCCAATCCCAAGGGACTCAGGGCGGCGTACAAAGTTAAAACAACAAGTATAACAATTAAAAATGAATACATTCACACATGTCCCAATCGAATCCCCCCCCCCGGGGACATCAGCCCCAGGCCTGCCGGAACAGGAGAGTTTTAATAGCTTTCTTGAAGGCCGGCAAGGTGGGAATAGTTCGAATCTCGGGGGGAAGTTGATTCCACCACGTCGGAGCCACCACAGAAAAGGCCCTTCCCCGAGGGCTCGCCAGCCGACATTGTCTGGCCGACAGGACCTGAAGGAGGCCCAATCTGTGGGACCTCACCGGTCTCTGGGAACTATGTGGCAGTATGATTGCAACCTACAATCTGCACTCTAAATTAAATATGAATTTCTTGCAAAAGATGGAAAACTTTATCTTTTTCATTTTGTTTGTTTTCCAGCCCGACAGTGCTTATCAAGGAGGAGTCTTTTTTCTTACAGTTCATTTTCCAACAGACTATCCATTCAAACCACCAAAGGTAAACAGTAATTTTGAAATGCCATTTGTTCATTTTAATTGATGGGAAATTTTGCTGGGCATAGATATTTTATTAAAATAAGAGAATAGAATAAATAGATCAGAGGATAGAGCATTTTGAGAGAAACACAGAAGAATACAAAAGACAAATTATTTCACAATATTTTAAATTGGACATGCGGCTTCAGCCGTTCCTGTGTTGTTGTTTTTTTTAAATCCATTTTAAATGTATGTCTTCACAACACACTCAAGTTGATGGAAATCTGAGGTCCTAGAGAATAGGAAACAGATCCTACTAGCTTTTGACCAGCTTCTCCACCCTCAACATTTGTTTGCCAGTATGCATTTTAGAGGAAAACTAATGGTCAATCTGTTACCTAAGATTAAGTTAGATCTTGGTTTTGGATCTGAATGTGCAAACTAGAATAGGAATACAGGTAGTCTTCGAGTTACGAATGTAATGGAGCCTACCCATTCCATTTGTAACTCAAAAATTCACTAGCTGCTTTTGCCCACACATTCGGTAATCGAATGCATGGGCAAATGTGCGGTTCGTTAAGTGCACATGAGGTATCTCCGGGTGGGGAAGGCCATGGAGGACTTGGAAATTACTCTGATAACATGCCTTTAGTAGAAAGCTATATAAAGATCCAAAGGATGGCTTAAAGCTCCAATCATTTTATGTGGTAGTGTATTTTACTCAAATAAGTTGGTTATAATTGTTGTATTAATGAATGAAGTAAAAGTATCAAATTCATTCCCTACCAAAAGTAGCAGAAAAAAAATAACATAATGCCTACGTCACAGAAACTGATTTTCTTGACATTTTGGAATAGACTTATTAGGATAGTATGAAGTGTCAGAGGGGCGCTTTGCTTCAATTGTTTGTTTTAGGCAAAAGATGACTTTTGATTTTAATTGAATCGATTGTGTTATGGATGTATATATGTTACAATTTTATACAAATGTATGAATAAAATATTACGTTATTTCATTATAATCAGCTATACATATTCTACATCTAAAAGCAACTCATTCATAAATTACAATTAACACTGTCTTTAGTCCATTGAATAACTAGTGCCATAAATTTATATTCCTAGTGCTAAATAAGTCTTTTAGCAATAAACAAGCATGAAGAATCTATTTCTATTGCCCAGCCATGAATTTCAGTGTAATAAGTATGCAACAAAAATATGGACATCCAAAAATGTTAAAAATTGTCTCAAAATCAAATTGATACACATACTGAATTCTGCTGAGAACATAATAATTTTAAGACATTGTACAAATGTGTATTTGAATAAATTCATTACACTTATATTCATTCATTTTGCCAGATCCAATACCTCCTAAGAGATAATTGGGAGCTGCCAGAATTGGTAATAAGGTGGATGGCTATATAAATGTTCTAAATTAATAAATTTCACCACTAATGATATCTTAGGGTCTGGAAAAATGAATATGTGTTTTATGAAAACATGATCTTAATCAGATTTGGGCATGAAGATAGCTCTGTCCTTCGAAAGAGAGGTTGAGCTATTAGTTATTACTTAGCGTATATAATGTCTGACAAACTTTCTAAAAATCCATCGAACAAATAGTCTTATTTGTTGATTTTGCATGGAATGACTCTTTACTGCTCATTCATAAAGGGTATTTTTCTTTGAAAAATGTCAGATGAAACAATAAAATAGAAGTTATCTAGTATATGTGGTACAAGCAATTGAATTTTATTTTACATGCTTCCACTGCAGATTGCATTCACTACAAAAATATACCATCCAAACATAAATAGCAATGGAAGTATTTGTCTTGATATCCTGAGGTCACAGTGGTCACCAGCACTGACTGTATCTAAAGGTAATTCTATTTGTGAAGCATACCAGTGACATACTCTTTGTGTACATATTATATAAGATTTATATTGTGCATGGATCCCTAAGCGAGATAATTAAATAACCAAGCCTGAATTTGTTACTGTGGATTAAGTAATAAGACTATTACTATTGTCTTGGGTTGAGATTTTAAACTATGATCAAAATGGTGACTGTAGCGGTCAGAATAGAGCCTTCAGAGGATGGGAATATGCATAGGCTGAGAGAACTCTTCTAGAAAATGTTCTGGAGAACAGAAGACCATTATACAGTAGTTGTGAAACTTCACTTAGACAGCAAAACTAATTGTAGAAAGAGTTAATGTATAGTAATCTAAAAAATAAATTTTAATAGTTTATTTTTTTTATTAAGTTTTACAAATTACAATATAAACCCCTCCCACCTGAGAGCTGATTACAGAGTAACAAATAAACAAACATAATCTAACTAACATTAACCAACTATACTATCAATCAAAACCATAACACACTTTAACTCCTTTTCAAAACAAATATTAACAAATTAAAAACAAAAATAATATAATTAAAACTATTAATAATTATCTAAAATCTACTCGTATGCAAAATAATACTTTTCAGTTTCATATTTCTTTTGAATATAATCAATCCATCTTCTCCAAACCATAATATATTTTTCTTGTGAATGATCCTTCAAGTAGGCAGAGATTTTCGCCATTTCTGCTAAATTAGACACCTTAAGTATCCATTCTTCCATAGTAGGCAATGAGTTTTTCTTCCAATATTGCCCCACCAATAATCTTGCAGCTGTTATAAGATTCAATATCAAATTAATTTCTTTAACATCAAAATCTACAGTAATACCCAGCAAAAATAACTGCGGAGTAGACTTTATCTTTCTCTTAAAAATCTTCTGAATATTCCACCAAATCTTAATCCAAAAAGCTTTTATATCTCTACAAGTCCATCAAATGTGAAAATAGGTTGCATCTAAACTTTTACATCTCCAACATTTAGGCTGTAAATTCGGATACATGTGGGACAACTTTTGAGGATCCAAATGCCATCTATAAAACATTTTATAAAAATTTTCTCTTAAATTTTGCACTAGAGTAAATTTAACATTTCTAACCCAAATTGTCTCCCATGTATCCAATAAAATCGGCTCATGAATATTTTGTGCCCATTTGACCATACAATCTTTAACTAACTCCATTTCAGAATCCAATTCTATAAATTCTCTTTATATGGGCTCAACTTTGGTCTTTAATCTGTTTTACCAAATTCACATCCTCTAAAGCAGTGGTTCTCAACCTTTTTAATGCCGCGACCCCCAACCGGTCGTAAGTCGAGGACTACTCAACTGGTGCAGCACTGTTTGTAGAATGGGACTTTTGGCGGGCTCAGCAGGGCAGCCTGGACAATTCCTATTGGCTTTTGAAAGCCAATAGAATTAGACTTTATTCAAGAGAGTCTATTCTATTGGCTTTCAAAAGCCAATAGAATAAAAGGGAGTAGCACAGCTAAGGAAAAGGGGGAAAAAATGGCGGACTGTGTTGTTTAGCGACCCCCATGAAATGGTTGTTCGACCCCAAATGGGGTCCCGACCCACAGGTTGAGAACCACTGCTCTAAAGTAATACCAGCCTTTTGATCTAAACTCCATCTCACTAACAATTGATTATAATGAAACCAAGAATATACAATATTTTCTTGCTTCAACTCAGTTAAAGACTTTAATTGCCAATCCTGCCCAACCAAACTAAGTAATTCCTTATAAGAAATCTTATCCAAATTCACTCCCCTAGATACTCCCTCTATCACGTGTCCAGGAATCCCCCAAATTGGAATTTTATAATTTAACCTATAGTAATACTTCTTCCAGACACGCAACAAGGCACTTCTCAAAATATGGGTTTGAAAAACCTGATCAATTTTTTTATCATAAATTAAATAAGCATGCCATCCATATAATAAATCCCATCCCTCAAGAGAAATAATATTTTTTATTTGTTAAGTTGAGCCAATCACTAATCAAGGTTAAAGCCGCCGCATCATAGTAAAATTTTAAATTAGGCGCCTTAAGTCCTCCTCTTTCCCATATATCTTGTATAATCTTAAATTTGACTCTTGGCTTTTTCCCTGCCCAAATGAACTTATTAATCCCCTTCTGCCATTCCTCCAAATTAGCATCTTTTTTCAAAATAGGTATCATTTGAAATAAGAAAAGAAACTTTGGAAGTATATTCATTTTAATTGCTGAAATTCTCCCCAACAAAGATAATTGTAGTTTTTTCCAGTCATTTAAATCCTTTTGCACTTTTGCCCATAATGTCTCATAATTATTTTTATACAATTTAACATTAGAAGCTGTAATATATACTCCTAAATATTTAACCTTTCTCATTATTTCAAAACCTGTTAATTTAGTCAAAACATCCTTTTCCTTCATAGACATATTTTTCAATAATATTTTAGTCTTATTATTATTTATCTTAAAACCAGAAACCTTCCCATACTGAATTAAAATTTCAACCAAATCCCTAACCGAGTCTGTCGGTTGAGATAATGTAACAACCAAATCATCAGCAAAAGCTCTCAACCTATAATCATTCTTATTTATTTTTATTCCCTTTATTCTAGGTGACTCACGAATTTTAATAAGTAAAATCTCCATTGTTAAAACAAATAACAATGGGGATAGAGGACATCCTTGTCTTGTACCCTTTTCAATTTTAAATGCTTCTGTTAATCCCCCATTAATTATAATTTGTGCAGATTGTTGTTGATATATAGCCTTAACAGCATACAAAAATTTATCCCCAAAATTCATTTCCTCTACTACTTTCAATAAAAATTGCCAGTCTAATTGATCAAAAGCTTTTTCAGCATCTAAAAATATCAAAGCCGCAGGGATTTGATTATTCTTGTCCAAATACTCAATTAGATTAACAATTTGTCTAACATTGTATATCATATATCTTCCAGTTATAAATCCAGATTGATCACTGTGGATCAATTGCTTCAAAACTCGCATTAATCTATTTGCCAATATTTTTGAAAAAATCTTATAATCTGTATTCAAAAGAGATATAGGCCTATAATTTTTGGGCTGAGTCAAGTCTTGATCCTCCTTTGGAATTAGTGATATAAAAGCCCTTCTCCAAGATGAAGGTACCTCTGCTTCCAGCAGAATGTTATTTAAAAGTTCCTTCAATGGTTCTATCATTTCTTCAAATAGCATTTTATAATAAATTGCTGTTAATCCATCAGTACCTGGAGCCTTACCAACCTTTAATTGCTTAATTGCCCAAATAATCTCATCAGAAGTAATTAAACCATTAATCTCATCTCGTTGATCAGTAGTAAGTTTAGGAAAATGTGCTTCCTGTAAATGCCTTTCTACATCTAAAACTTGTATATTTTCACTAGCATATAACTTTGAATAAAAATCTAGAAAACTCCTTTTAATCAAGTTTTGTTGATATACATCTTTACCTTTATAATTAATTTTTTCTATAATCCTTGATTTCTGTTTCTTTTGTAATTGGTAAGCCAACCACCTACCAGGTTTATTTGCATTACAAAATGTATTGTGTTTCATATACCTCAAATTAATTGCAATCTGATCAGCTATTAACATATTAAATTGCTCCTTAAGCAAAGTTATAGAAACCTTTAAACTATTATCCAATGGATTTAACATAAGAGCCTTTTCCTTACATTTAATCTCTTCTTCCAACTCTTTACGTTTCTGCATCTGTTTGCGTCTATGCGCATTATTCATATGAATCAAAACCCCTCTCATATATGCTTTACTGGCATCCCATACCATTGGCATCGAAGTACCCTTATGCAAATTCAAAAGAAAAGATTCCTTTAAATAACCTCTAGTTCTCTGTATATTCCCCTCATGTCTAAATAAATTTTCATTCAGTCTCCAAGTCCTTCTTTTCTCATCTTCGATATATAACTCCAACCATACAGGACTATGGTTTGACAATATTCTGGGGAAAATCTTGGCATTCTTCACCCTAGAAAAAAAGTCATTAGTAATTTAAAAAAGTCAATTCTAGAGTACGATTGGTGCCTGTCTGAAAAGAAAGTAAAGTCTCTTTCTTCAGTATTCCGTTCTCGCCAAATGTCTCTAAGTTCCAGATCATCCTTCAGATCAAAGAACACTTTAGGTAATTTTGCATGATTAGGAGATTTAAAAGAGCCTTTCTTGTCTTTATTTGAATCTAAAACACTGTTCCAATCTCCCATCATTATTACTGATTTATAATCCAGTTGAATTAATTTCTGATGTAACATCTTATAAAAACATTTTTGTTGCTGATTAGGAGCATATAGTCCAATGACAAGAGTTCTCTTACCATTTAGTAACAAATCAATAATAACATATCTTCCTTGTGGATCAGAGTCAATTAACTTCGGTGATAAATCTTTCCTCACATAAATAACCACTCCTCCTTTTTTCTGCGGAGCAGAGGCTGTAAAATGTACTCCCAGCCGGGAGTTGATCAAATACTTTTCATCCTTTAAAGCAATATGAGTCTCTTGTAAACATATAACATCATTCTTATATTGTTTCAAATAATGAAATACTTTCTTTTCTGTGGTGAATTCAGACCATTAACATTCCATGTCAAGAACTTTGCCATCCTTAGTGGCCTGAAGCCTTTGGAACACTGCATTTAAGTTTGCAATTGATGACCTCTTTGGTCTTGTTCCTCCCACTGGCTCAGGGGTAGCCATTTGTGTTGTAGCTCCAACATCTACCTTTTGTTGTTCTTTTTCTCTATGTTTATGGGCTGCACGAGTCATTCTCTGTTCCTTTGGATCTTCTCTTATCTCCAAACACTGCTGCATAGATTCAACCAACAACTCTTCTCCTACTAAGGCATTGCTCCTGCAGCCAACTGCCCTTCAGACTTGCTTTCGTTTCTTCTAGATCTTGGAGATGGTGGTGCACCTGCCTTCAGAATAGAAACATAAAAATCTCTTGCTTTTAAAATTGTGTTAAGTCTGTAACATGTACTAACATAATTCATCACTATGCCAACAGGTATATCCCATCTGAATTGAATCTGTCGTTTCTTAAGCTCCTCAGCCAAAAAAGCAAAATCCTTTCTTTTTCTAAGAATTTTTGGAGGTATTTCTTTTAAAATTATAACATCTTGAGCTGCAATTTGAAATCTTTGCTTATAAAAAGCCTGTATAATTTCATTGCAAAGTGATCTTCTGGAAAAATAAATAACCACATCTCTTGGTAAATTCCTCTGCTTTGCAACCCATGAATTAACTCTAAAAAATTTTCTATATCTCTGAACATTTCTTCAGGTTCACATCCCAGAATGGAGGCTAATTCTGCTGCAATTTTTTCTTTCAAATTCTCTTGCACATTCTCCTTCAACCCTCTTATTCTCAAAGCAAATTCCATATCTCTATATTGTGACATTATAATTTCATTCTGTGCTGCATCAACATTATTTTCAACTTTTTCAATTCTATCCTCTAATCTTTCAACATTTCCAACCACTTCATCCACTCTGTCATCAAGGCGTTCTACGTGGGCAGCAAGCCCCTGGAGAGCCATTATAATATCTTCTCTCATCTCATTGTTTTTCTGCTCCAAAAGCTCTGCTGTCTCAAGTTTAATCTTTTGTGCAGTTTTCTCCAAAGCATCCTGTAAGGCATCCTGTAAATCTTTAAGTGTGAGTGCCTGAGATGAAGGAGAGGGTGGAGGAGATTTAGGCTTAGGTTGCTGTATAGTCTGAGTTACTGGAAAAGAAATTGAGGCTGTAGGAAGAGAAGAAATTCCAGGGCGTTTTGAAGCCATTTTAAAAAGAGATGAAAAGAAAAAAAAATAAGAAAAATAGAAAAAAGCCACTTCTTATAACAAAATAAAATAAGGGGATGATAAAAACCACTCCCCCTTACATAAAAAAGAAAAACTCTTTAAATAGGCAAAGTCTATTACATTGTTGAAACTTTGTTGCCAAGTAAAAGTGAAAGTCTTCAGACAAAGAAACAGGATTCCTCCGCCATTTTTTCCTCACTCCATATGTTGAAATAATAACTGGAGAAGATTAATTCTTCAGTTAAAGTTAAAGTTCAGAATCCTCACAGTTTATTTTTTGATTGGCACTTTTTAATCTGCACACAGCTCACAAACATTTGTTTCTTTTAATAAAATTTGTTAATGGGAAAAAAGCTACCAGACTCCTGATTTTTTTTTATAGCAAAATTCAGTATCAGGCATATTAAGCAAAAAAAAAAAAAAAAAAAAACCCGAACAAACAAATAAAAGGGACTAAGAAATAGTTTCTGAAATATCCAAATCATCTTTGATGTCAGAAGCAATAGGAGAAACTGGAGATAGGGGAATACTGCTCCATGGCATTTGTGCTAGGTTCTGAGGAATTAGTTGGAATAAAGATTAGGAAGATCTAACTGAGAGACAAAGGCATAAGCCAGGGATCTTCAAACTTGGCCCTTTTATGACTTGTTGACTTCCAACTCCCAGAATTCCTCAGCCAGCATGCTTGGCTGAGGAATTCTGGGAGTTGAAGTCCACAAGTCATAAAAGGGCCAAGTTTGAAGACCCCTGCCGTAAGCTATGAAAGTTTACATAGCTGGGAAAACCCCTGTTTTGTTACAAATATAAGTATCTCTGGATAACAGAACTACATGTTAAACAATATCTTACCATTTGAAAAGCAACACTTTACTCTTTAATCTTAATTTTACTCATCTTTTGAACTATTCCCTAGTGATGATGTCAACTCCATACTTAGAAACCAAAATACTGAATTTCTATAAGGTACAGTGGAGTTATTTTGGTGGCAGTGGTTTAAGGTTTTATTAAATACTGTAGCACTAGTTTCATAGTTCTCCAATCTTAAGAATGAAAAATAATAGGATTCTGCACAATTTTGTTTTATTCCTCTGTTACTGTCACATTGTTTTCAATAAAAAGTTACCCATATTCTTTACCTACAAAGAAATACAATTTAGTTGAATGGAGCAATTCCACAATTGTTTAAAATCTGCACCACAACTTTTGAAGATGTGCCTCTCAGATAAGAGCCCTGTGTTTGTAATGAGTGCATGGAAACAGTTTAGACAAGGCTGCCTTCAATTTAAATATCCTTTGCCTATGGAATCCAATTTCAAGTTGCCACTCGTATACTATGTAGACCTTTTTTCCCAGCTTCAGTACCTTGCACCCATTTTAGATACCTCGCTTATTTTAAATCTTTAAATAAAGATTTAAAGTATTTTAAGTATTAAAGTATCTTACATTCTTAAAGTAAGTAGTAAAAATACTTAATGGCCAGATATGTGCTTTAAAAAATCAGCTCAGGAGAGGGGAACTGGAACTTCTTACTAGAAGTATAATATTTATATTTCTCAAACTGCTATACTTAAGCACTTTTTAAAATATTTGGGAAAGGGAGGCACTCTAGCCAAAAAAAGGAAATACAGAAACAGCCTCTTTTAAATTAATTGCATTTTTTAAGATACTAACTCCTGTATTAGTGTTTTGTTTTTAAAAATGAAAGGATTGCCAAATTTAGTTTCATGATAAACTCATTTTTTTTTTAAATTAAAAAGAAGTAAAATGTTTCCCTAAAGTATGTTATGGCCTAATGCAGATATTTGGTATCTACTTAAGCACATTTACATATGGGACTTGAATTCTCATGCTGCCTTGTTTTGGGGAGTGAGATAAAAAGGAGAATATTGCATACTTATTTTGGCAATAGTTCTTTAAAAAGTAAAGACCGGGGATGTATTGAAATTGTATTGTGTTTTCTCTTAGACTACTAAAATAAAGACCTCAAATTTCTTTCAGAGTAGGAAGCACCTCTGGAATTGGGCAAAGTTACAATTATGTTAGAATACCCAAATAATAATGTGCATGAGTTAGTAAATCTGAGGAGCTAGTTTCCTCAAATGTTGGAAAACAGGAACTATTGAATTATAAGAGATGAAAATAAGTAGCTACTTTGAGGCCTAATTATTATCTGACATCATGAAAACTATAATTTATTATTTTTACTTTCCCTCTAGTGCTTTTGTCCATATGCTCTCTACTTTGTGACCCTAATCCAGATGACCCTTTAGTACCAGATATTGCACAAATCTACAAGTCAGACAAGGAAAAGTATGTATAAATATTATTTCAAAAATTGTAAGCCACTAGTTTGTTCTTTCCTGTTTTTTTCTCTTTGCACCAAAGATATTGATGAAATGATTCAGTTATTTTACTAGACTTTATTTTTCCAATCACATTATCTTTTGTTTTAAAACTGCACACATGGTTTTAAAGTCCAGTTTCCCTTAATATATGTTAAGTATGTAAGTTGAAGAGGAAAAGATACAGCCTTATATCATGTTTCTCATGTTGGTTTGAACCATGGCTTTCTAATCTGTACATGGCTTTCTCATGAGGACAATAGCATGTTCTGAGATTCCCATTCTCCTAAGCACATTCCACATAAACATTTTTCTGTAATCCACGAAGCACTTATTGATGTATTCGCTTTCTCATTATCTAGCAGGCATCAACAATAATACCTTTTGCACTTTTCAATTCAGGCATGGAACATTTTTCATAACCCTAGCTCTGTTCATTTAAACAGCATGAGCTGACTTCAACTTGAGGTTTAACAAGAAAACCTTTGAACGAAGATTTAAACTGATATAAATTTAAAATAGATACTCTGTCTTAAAACTATTGTCTATTATGCTTTGGAGTGGTGAGACAATGGGTATTTTACATGTGTTCTTAATCTAATAAAAGTAAGTAAGCAAATTGTATGTACACTTCAATTTACAAAGTTTGGAAAATGTTTCACATACTAAACTAGCTGGTTTATTTTTAAATATCTCCTTAACTGTCCTAAGATAAGAAGAGGAGAAAAGACATGAAAGCACAACATAATGACGGTAGTTCATAGCATTGTCATCCTTCAGTTATTACAGGAGTAAGCCTCATTTCCAACCCCTTGAGAAATCATTATGGATCTGGGTTGGAAATCATCAACAACACATTTTGTATTCCAGCAGTTACACATCTATCCAGTTAAAAGGGTTCCTCCAAAATACTTACTTTTTTATTCCACTATGACCAGATAGACTGCTACAAACCAATCTTGTACTCTTTAAAATTCTACAGTACCAAACAGATATGTCTATTTTTTTTCCAGTAGAAAACTATAACTATTTTAAGCCAGCTTTCTCAGTTGTGTGCCTTCAACGTGCATTGGAATTGCAGCTCCCAGAATCTCTCAGCATTATTGTTTTCATGGAAATTCTGGATGTTGCAATACATCTGAAGGGTGCCAAGTTAAAAAAGGCTTTTCTAAGCACTTGTATCTTGTAGTTGATTGTATTTGCAATGTGATAACACAACTGTGAATCATAAGCTTGTATATTTTCACATTTTTTTCTTGGACAGATATAACAGACATGCAAGAGAATGGACACAGAAATATGCAATGTAAACTTTGAAGACATTTTCTTATATACCAGAGTACTGTAAATTTTAGGGTTTTTCAAAATTAGAAGTAAATGGAGCACAGTTTATTGTTTTCAATGTACCATGAAGCCCTTTTTTATTTTTACCCATGTAAGTGTATTTCTGGAACAAGGAAATTAACTACAAAAATTAACCAGAAGACTGTGACGAGAGTATTTATCCTTTCTGTATGCTTTGCAAAAGACATTTATTATGTTTTTTTAAAGATACTTGGACATCTGCATCTTCAGCCTACAAGATTCATAATGCAGTTATAGAGCAACCAAACTATTTTTGCTGAAAACTAGGTGGTACATAATAAATATTCTGTGTATTTGAGATGTCAGTCTTGTAAGTCTGTTTGAATGTCATTCTTTGTTAGCTCATTGTATAATTTGTATTTTTTTACTGTATAGACTATATTTTATTTACCATATATTTCAGCTCATTTTAGACTTTCTGCACAGTATTGAAAAATACAACTGCTACTAAATGAGTGAAGTATTCCTTCGCAAAGGAATATTCTATAAACTGATAGACTCCTAAAAACAAACTTTGCACTCTAATCTTCAGTATGCTGATTATGGGGAAACACATGGTTTTGATTTTGTTGCATACTTCTATTGCAATGTGAACTAATTGCACTGCTCTGTAGAAAGAAATGTAACTAATTTTATTCTATTCACAGCTGACTTTTTATCCTATATGGGCAATATAATCTCTGACATGTTAACAAAATTGACTTGAAGCTTTTCCGTATAAATAAAACATGTTTTTTTACTACTTGTCTTGGCTGTTTTTTAAATCTAGCATATTCTTTACATGTGCATGCTCTGAAAAGATCAAAATATTGTTCAATATATAAAGTACCACTGGGAATAACTGACCTATATGCTTGAAAATGCTCCTGAGAGCATAGTAGCTTTTAAACAAATTACTTATTGTACTCTATTGATCTAAGCCGATTGATCTTTTTATCCAGTATAAACAATGTACCTTCAAGCTTGCAAAGTAATTTGGAAAATGTGCTTATGATGAAAACAGTTGATTTTAGAAAATCAGAAATGCTTCTTTCCCCTGTTGTGTAACAATATTTTGATCTGATATTTCTACACACAAACTAATGCTAAAGCCAGTATATGCATACTGCATGTTTGGAGAAGAACAGCCTTTGGTTCCTTACAGATAAGTGCATTATTTTTTAATGTAGATTTTAAGGTACTAAGCCAATATGAAATGCATTTTAATTTGTAGCTGAAATAATTCTAAAAAATGATTTAGCTAGAAGATTTTGCTGCCATAGATAAGTTCACGCTTTATTATCCTAGTGCTTTGCGATCCCAAAAAGTATTCAAACAAAAACCCATAACTAGAATGCATCAAAATGTGGCAAACATCCCAGAGGCTATTTTTCTGTTTAATTTTAATCTCAACATTTTTGCATCATGCTAATTGCCTATGAAAAAGTTGCTTTGTTTGTTTTGTTTTACCTCAGTACAATCTAAAGATGGAAGCTTTATAAGATAGCACTGAAATTTCATTGCATTAATATCATTGCATACTGTGAAACAGGCCATCTCTGCAAATAGCCAATACACGTTTCCATGCAGTAAATTAATCCTTCGCTATACTTGAAAAAAGGGGTGCAATTGCTTGTGAAGCTATTAACATTGTCATCAGCATTTCAAAATGGTGATAAAAGATTGATTTTCCACATTTTATCTGTATTAAATGTTTAAAATAGATTTGTCCCAGAATATCCCATTTCTCTTCTTATAATAGGCTCTGTGAAATTTGGTAGTTTGATTTGCATGGCTATTAAGTGAAAGAATGTTTAATCTGCTTTGCTGAAATTATATGGAGGATGGTTTGAAATTGTTTAGATATTATTATGCTTTGAAGTATACCTAATGGGAGGAATTTACTAACCATAATGCAAAATCTTCAGGTTGAGCAAAAGCTGCAAATCAGATTGCTGCTTATTCTTCATTGGGTTCTATGAAGTATCGTTGCAAGTACCGCAAATGTCTTCAATTGATGTTTAAAACTGAAGTTCAGAGACTGATTTCATAAACTGAACTTCCAGACTAACCTTAATAACAGTAACATCTTTAAGCAGACATCTGGACCAGAAATTCAGTTAACTAAAAGGTGTTAAGAATTCTGTAATTTTTTTTTTTTTTTGCATTTTCTGGAAATTAGTCATGTTCTGTTTTTAAGTGAATCATTATGAAGGTTGGTTTTATTCCCATGCCCCAGCTCAATATTTGCTCAGTCCTGGTGCATCCATTATGGTGACATAAATGTGTCTGTACTTCAGTCCCTCCACCAAATGCCAGTTTATACTGTACAGTGCCTTAGAGAGGGGCACTAACTGAGCCATCCCATTTCCTGTATAATCCTCACTTGGCATTATTGGCATGACTAAAGCAAAGGATCTCTGTATCAGTGAAATTCTTAAAATGTAATCTTTAGTCATTCTAGTTAATGTTAAATAAGGCGTGCTTTCTAGCTACTTCTGATGTGGTATTTTTCTGCCTGAAGATGTCAGCTGAGGCTTGAATGAAAATAAAATTTTGTTTTGAACTTGGAACTTGTACAGTTGTATTTTTAACCCAGCAGTTTTGTTGGAATATTCATGAACAGGAAGAGTCATGTGGTAACTCAGTCAGCCAATGGGAAGAAAGTGCTACTGAGTCTGTGCAAAAAGAGCATTCAGTTAGGAGCTGGATTTCCAATCTCATGTTTGTATCTGGTCTGTCTGTAAGGACCCACCCCACTTTGCATCTTAAGAAGACAGAACTCTTGGAATAATTCTTCCAACAGGAATCCTTTATTAAGAGAAAATGGTTGCAGGCATGCTAGACAGGACTTGGGGTCCAAGCTCTCCCATTCAAGGTTTTAAGGGGTTCCCCAGTAGTCCCACCCAATCAACCCCCCTTCCAGTGATAGTTTCAAGTATCACAATTCCACTCCCTTTCTTCTTTCTTCCGTCTGGATGGAGACTTCAGATAACTACATGAAAGGCAACTTCCCTCCTTTGGTATGTTAACGCTTCGAGGTTACAATAAACACACATTCAGCATTCAGCTCTTTGAAGTGTAAAGAAGGAAGTGAGGGCCATAAAGCCCCTTTGTTCTCCCCCTTCTCTCCCTCTTATGGCAGAATCCAGAGAAGGCAGAATTGGGAGTTTCTATATTTGATAATTTAAAGATGAAATATAATTGGATTCTGACATCCGGCCCCTCTTAACAATAAGAGAGATCCACCTGAAAGAAAACACAAGTATAAAATTTAGTCAGGCTTGTTAGGATACTCTGTGTGAAACTTCTTCAATAGCTTCGGGGCTCTGACATGACGTTTATGGACCCACTCATTTTGTGAGGGAGGGAGGTGTTTCCAGGCAACTAGGTACTGAGTTGCTCCATGATATCTCCTAGAGTCAAGGACTTCCTTTATTTCGAAGTGTTGTTCACCCTCCACCATGATTGGAGGTGGTGGGGGGGGGATTTTTGGCCGTAGAGGTGACTGATGCTCTCTTTTCAGCAAGCTGCAATGAAAAATTGGGTGTATTTGCCTGAGATTTTTGGGTAATTCTAATTCTACTGTTACTGGATTTATGATTCTTTTAATTGGAAAAGGTCCTATGTATTTTGGTCCAAGTTTTTTACAGGGCTGTAGGGACTTTAGGTATTTTGTAGATAAGTACACCATTTCTCCTATAATGAATGGTGTAGGCTCAACCCTTTTTTTATCGGCTTGTGTTTTGTAAGCCTGCCTAGCTTCATCTAGTGCTTTTCTGACTATTGGCCAGGTGTTTTGTAATTTTTCCATCCATTCTTTCAGCGAGGGGATCGTTGGTTCGTTTGGGGTTAATTCTGGCATGGGGTTGAAACTTTGACCGGTGGCTATTTGAAAAGGAGTGTAACCTGTGCTGGAGTGGACTGCATTATTGTAGGCAACTTCTGCAAAGGGGAGTAAGTCCGCCCACTCGGTCTGCTGGAAACTAAGAAAACATCTTAAATATTGCTTAAGTACTGAGTTCATTTTTTCAGCCCCCCCATTTCCTTGAGGGTGGTGGCTAGATGTCAGTCCCTGAGTGGTTCCTAAGAGGGATAAAAATTCCTTCCAAAATGCAGACGTAAATTGCACCCCCCTGTCAGAGATGATGCGTTGGGGTGCCCCATGCAATCTGTAAATGTGTTGGATGAAAAGTTTTGCTAAGGCTTTTGCAGTGGGAATCTTTTGGCAAGGGATAAAGTGCACCTGTTTGGAAAACAAGTCCGTGACCGTCCAGACCACAGTATTCCCATTGCTTTCTGGCAATTCCACTATAAAATCCATGGCTATTTCTCTCCAGGGGGCTGAGGGACTTGCCACTGTTTGCAATAGTCCTGGCACTTTCCCTTGCAACCTCTTTGCCGTGGCACATTTTGGACAACTGGCTATATAACTTTCAATGTCCTTTTTCATGGATGGCCACCAAAATTGCCGTTTAATTAAATGTAAAGTTTTTACAAATCCAAAATGCCCTGCTGATTTTGTGTCATGGCAAAGGTGCATGAAAGTTACTCTTTGAGTTGTTGGTATATATAACTTTTCCCCTACCAAGGCAACCCGTCTCTCATTGTGCACACATTTTTGTTTTTCTGGAACCATTCATCTGTTTCCAAACTTTTTCTGAATTCAATTCCAGTTTGGCTGTCCAGTTGTGGTTTTAATTTGGCTTGGGTTCTTGTGGTTACTGGTGCTGCCAGTTGTGACTCTGCCATTATTGGTCTAGAGTCTGTGGTTCGTGCGCTGTTATATTGGGGCATGCGAGATAGAGCATCTGCCAGGAAGTTCTTTCTTCCTGGTAAATGTTTGAGCTTAAATTGGAATTGGTGAAAATGCTGGGACCAGCGGGCTTGTTTGGGATTGAGTTTCCTGGAAGTTTTCAGGGCTTCTAAATTTTTGTGATCAGTCCACACCTGGAAGGGGATTTTGTTGCCTTCCAGGAACTGTCGCCATGTGAGTAATGCCCAACGTATCCCATAAGCCTCCTTCTCCCATACGGGCCAGCGCTGTTCTGTTTCCGTGAGTTTCTTGGATGTATATGCACAGGGTTGCAATACTGCATCATCATTTTCTTGTAATAGCACAGCCCCCACTGCCACATCACTTGCATCTGCCTGTATTATGAAGGGTTTGTCCATGTCTGGGTGCCTTAGTACTGGTTCGGCAGAAAAAAGTCTCTTTAGTCTCTCAAACGCTGCTTGGCACTCCATTGTCCATGTTAGTGGCTGGCTAGGTTTTACTGAGGATGTTCCCTTCGTTTTTAGTAAGTTAGTGAGGGGCAAGGCTATCTGTGCAAATGAGGGGATGAATTGGCGGTAAAAATTTGCAAAGCCCAGGAAACTTTGTAGTTGCTTTCTTGTGCGGGGTGGTGCCTTCTAATACTGCTCTGACCTTCTCTGGGTCCATTTCAATGCCCTGTGGGGATATGCGATAGCCTAGGTAGTCTATCCTTTCCTGGTGGAATTCGCATTTTGAGAGTTTGGCATATAGGTTAGCGGCTCGCAGCTTCTTTAAAACCGCTCTGACAAGTTTGACGTGTTCTTCTTTTGTTTCGGTAAAGATAAGAATGTCGTCCAAGTAAACAAGGACCCCCTTAAACAGGTGCTCCCTTAGAACGTCATTGATTAATTGCATAAAGACTGCAGGGCCCCCTTGTAATCCAAATGGCAAGACTTTGAATTGATAGCACCCCATGGGGCAGTTAAATGCAGTCTTCCATTCGTCCCCTTCCTTGATTCTCACTCGATAGTAAGCTTCCCTTAAGTCTAGTTTAGAAAAAAATTTTCCCTTTCGATAGGTGTGACAGCATGTCTTTCATGAGGGGCAGCGGGTATAGGTTGCTTTCACTGATTGTGTTCAGGGCCCTATAATCCACGCATAAACGTAAAGAGCCATCCTTCTTCTCTCTAAAAAGGACCGGGGCAGCCACTTTAGGCTTAGCTGGTTCAATGAAACCTCTCTCCAGGTTTTTTTTTATAAATCTTTCCATTTCCTCCTTCTCCTTTGGGCTCATGGAGTATAATCTGGGCTTCGGAAGTTTTGCCCCAGGCTTGAAGTCAATGGTACAGTCTGTGGGTCGGTGGGGGTGGATCTCATTTGCCCTCTCCTCACTGAAAACTTCAGCAAGGTCCCTATATCATCTGGTATTTGTTAATCTTTTTTCCTCTCCTATGGATGCTTTTTCTATTCTTGATTCTGGTAGCCTCCCTATGGGTTTAAGTCCATAGGGTCCCCCTTCGGGAATTGATTTCTGTCGTCCTCCAATTTACCCAGGGGTTCCATTTTTTCAACCATTCCATCCCTAGAATCATTGGGCATTCCATACCTGGGGTCACCACAAACGTTTAAGTCCTCTTCATGGTTGCCCAGGGAGAGGTGTATTGGCAGAGTGGCTAGGGTAGCTGGCACCCCCCCTGCTATGGATCCATCTAGCTGGCCAAATGAGATTGGTTGTTCCAGTCTCCTGGATGGGATGCCCAGATTCCCCACTAGTGTTGGGCTAATGAGGCAGCGGGTGCAGCCAGAGTCTATTAAGGCTTTCACCTTCACAGCTTCGGGCATGGGGGGGATTAATATAGTCACTGTTTTGAAGATGGGTGTGATGCGTCCACTTACCAGGGGTTCGCCCTCCGAGCTGTCATCTGAGGCATCCACCGTCCCTGTGGTGTAGGCTGGAGTTCTTTCCCCTTGGTGAGCAGAGGTGGGGGTTTCTGCAATTTCCATCATTCTCATGGCTGTTTCTTTTGGCTTAGCTGAATACTTTCCGGGTTTGTTGATTGGGGATCTGTCTGGGTTGTGCTGGGGGGCCTTTGAGCGGCATTCTACAGCTCGATGCCCTTCTCTTCCGCACTTGAAACACCCCATTTGCTTCTTGGCTGTATCCGATGATTTCACCGGTTGGTGTGTCAGCTCAGGCGGGGGGCGGCTCCATTGTTTTCCTCGGCGGTGCCTCTTCAATATGTCGATCTCTGCTTCCTCTGCCAAGACGTACCATTCCTCAAGTCGATGTGGGTCCCCTCGGGGCAGGCAAGCATCATATAGATCATAGTTTAGTCCGTCTTTGAAATGGCCAAGGAGGATGTCTTCTGGCCAATTCAGTTTGCTGGCAATGGCCCGAAATTCTTGTGTATACTCATCCACTGGGCGTTTGCCCTGCCTCATCGTTGTTATTCTTTCACGGGCTTTGCGATCAGCCAGGGGGTCTTCAAATCGTCTTCTCAAAGAGGACATGAAACGGTTGAAGTTACTGAGTTCTGGGGCATTGGAGTCATGCAAGTTCACTACCCAATCCGCAGCTGGTCCATCCAGGGCAGATTGCACGATCCGGATGCGGGCTTTGTCGCTGGGAATATCCTGCCCATATTCCTCCATGTAGCTGAGGACTTGGGTTAGGAAAAACCCCAAGCGTGTTGGCTCCCCTTTGAATTTCACTTCCAACGGTGGACGTCTTGGAATGGATCGGTGTCTCTGTTGTGGGTGGTAGTGTCTTCCGTCCAGATTGCCATCTGTGGTCCGGTAGGGGGTGGGGGCTCCTGG